GGTTGGCTTCAATTCCTCGTTCTGTTAGGTAGAATCCGAGGAATTTCCCCGCCTTGACTCCGAACGTGCATTTTCGGGGTTGAATCTCATTTTACATTGTCTTGCTTGGGCGAAGACTGCCCTGAGGTGTGCTGCATGATCGATGTCTGCTCGGGATTTAACGATCATGTCGTCCATGTAGACCTCGAGCATGTCTCCAATCTGCTTGTGGAACACCCTGTTCATCATACGTTGGTAAGTTTCCCCTGCGTTTTTTAGTCCAAAGGGCATTACGTTATAGTAATAATTGCCCGAGCTGGTCATGAAAGCCGTGCAATGTTTGTCGCCCATGGCCATTGGTATTTGGTTATAGCCCGAGTAGGCATCCATGAACGACAACGTTTTATAGCCGGCCGAGTTGTCGACCAGCATATCTATGTTCGGTAAAGGGAAAGCATCTTTCGGGCAAGCCCGGTTGAGATCGGTATAGTCAACACACATCCTCCATTTTCATTATTCTTTTTAACTAGTACAACGTTTGACAGCCAGGTTGAATACCGGGCTTCAGAAATAAAATTTGCCTATAGGAGGTCTTTTACAGATTTTTCAGCAGCCTCCGTTTTCTCTAGAGACTGCCTACATCTACGTTATACTACGGCCTTAGCGGAAGGATCTATGGCGAGACAGTGACAGGCGACCTCAGGGTCGAGTCCGGGAATCTCCGCGGCGCTCCAGGCGAACAGGTCAGCATTCTCGTGCAAGCAGGCTTTGATCTGTTTCCTCTCCAGGTCGGGGAGGTCGATGCCAATCTTCAGTCCCTTGCTCGGGTCTGCGCCGAGGGGGACAAGCTCAAAGTTCCCGTCCGGGATTGGTCGGAGGGGAATCTGCTCGCCGTTGGGAGGTTCATCTTGATCGAAACGAGCATCCAGAGCTATAGAGTCGACCTTTGGTGGAGCTTTCTGGACTTCCTCTTTGGCGGGCTCTAGCTTGTCGGGTTCCTGTTGTGTCGTCGTCGGTCTCTTGGCGGGCCTCATCCCGATGTCGACGGTGTCGCATCCCTTAGATGCGGCGTTGAAGCACCTCCGGGCAACGGCTAGGTCCCCCTGGATGGTATCTACCCGTGCCCTCTTAGTGTAGAACTTCATCTTCAAATGGACGGTGGAGGGTACCGCTGTTAGTTCCGCCAGTGTTGGTCTCCCCAGGATGCAGTTGTAGAGGGACGGGCAGTCGATGACGAGGAAGCGTACTTTAACTTGTCTTGTTGCCGTACCCTCCCTGAAGGTGACCATGAGCTCGACATATCCCCAAGGCTTGGAGGTCGATCCGTTGAAGCCCTGTAAGTCCGAACCTACATATGGCGAGAGATGGGAGTCGTCCAGCTGTAGAGTCCGGAACAATTGACTGTACATCACGTCGACGGAACTTCCTTCGTCGACGAGGATGCGGTGCACATCAAAGTTAGCCATTCTTGCTCTTATTAGCAGGGGAATGATTGCGTTGGGGGCTCCCCCGGGGAGCTCTTCCAGGTAAAAGGTGATAGGCTCCGACCTACCCTTTACCCTTTCAAAGGTTACTGTCTGCGGGGGTGCCGCGTCGACCAGTTCATCCAGCTTTCTTTTAGCCGAATTGATAGTCAGGTCGTTGAATCCTCCACCATTGATGACCATGGTAGAGGGAAAGTGTTCCCACCTGCTGTGTATGGTGAGCGGTTCCTGCAGGTGCTCGAGGACGTAGAAGTCCTCGGGTCTGGTGATGGAGAAGGCGGTCTGGACGGGGACCGACTCGTCAGATGGTCGGGCATCTTCCTCCGGTTCTCTTGACTCTCGGGCGTCACGACGAGGAGCGTCGTTTCGCCGGTATTGGGCGAGCCTCCCTCCCTTGATGAGGGTTTCGATGGCGTCCTTGAGGTGAACGCAATATTCAGTCAGATGACCATGGCTCCTGTGGTACTGACAATATTCGCTCTTGTCTGCTCCGGGCTTGGTGGGAGCAGATCGGGGGAGTTTGACACCGCCGTCTTTAAAGTCTGTGCTGGCACACTCCGCCAAAATGTGCTCACGGGAAGCCGTGAGCGGAGTGTATTCGGTAAAACGCCCCGAGGGTCCTCTTTGCTCCCGGACTTCTCGGGGTCTGTCCTCTTTTCTTTTCTCCCCGGTTCGTCGAGGAGGAGCAGCTTCCTGGCGCAGGTTGCTGCTGGATCTGCAAGTCCCGGGGTCACGGGCTCTGTTGGCCGCCTCCCTCTGCTCGTAATCCATGTACGCCCGGGCCTTCTCGAGGAGGGCATCGAATGTTCTAGGTGGCTCGATGCCCACTGCCTTTCTGAATTCTGTGCCGGGGAGGAGCCCCCTCTCCAGCAAATATCTTTTCATGTGGTCCACGCAGGGGACGTGTATGGCTTCGCGGTTGAAGCGATTGATGAACTCTCTCAAGGTTTCATCTTGTCTCTGGATGATGGCCTCGGGAGCCGCCTCGGTCTTTGGGTGTCGCCGAGACGCAGTGAATGAACTGATGAATTGGTTCTTCAGGTTTCGCCATGAGGTGATTGATCCCGGAGCGAGGCCTTTATACCAGTCCATTGCCGCCTTTCTGAGGGTCGTGGGGAACAGCCGACATTTGATGGGTCCCCCAACATTGTGGTAGTGCAACATAGCCTCGAACACGTCTATGTGGTCGACCGGGTCCGCGACTCCATCGTATTCCTTCAGATGTGGAGGCTTCTCCATGCCCGGGGGAATGGGCGCCTCCATGATGGCCTGTGACAGGGGACCGCGGGGGTCATCCTCGTCACTTTGCTCCGGGGACAGGGATGGGGACCTGTAATATTGTCGAGCCCGATGATCCTGGTCGTGCTGGGCATCTCTCGAGCGCGGTGCTCGTTGGTTGATTCTTCCATGCCCGTCTCCGGAGTGTCTTCTTTCTTGTCGTGTGGGGGCGTGGCCGCGTCCCCCGACTTCAATAATGGGTTGCCTCTCCAAAGGGGCCGTCTCCCCGAGGGTCGGGGTGACGGGATTCGGGAGGTATCTTTGTAGTGTCTCCGCGGAGGAGACGGGAGATGTACCTCCGTTACTCGAGGAGGTGGAGTTTGGGGCCTCCTATGTCTCCTCGCAGGTCTTCAATCGTCTTCTAGTGCCCTCAATCTTTCCCCCTGGGCGAAGATGAGGTAATTCGTCTGATCTATCGCTGCGAACAGCGCACGGGTTATGGCATCTGCCCCGGTGGGGACATGGACTTCCTAAAATTGTGCAGCTCGATGGCTTGTGGGAGCTACGTTGTCTTCTTCGAGCGGCGGAGGGACTAAAGAGGATGATGCAGTAACTCCGCCGCGGTGGGCTGAGGGCCCGGGGTTGGCGCCCCCGGGGAGCGTGTTGTGACCGGGGTTACCAGCGTTATTGGTGAGTCCATTCTTATCGGCGAGGTCGTTGTTGGCGTCGACGACTCAGATGTTTTGATCATCACGAACTTGGTCAGCCATGACGGTAGGAGGTAATTTGAGCTTTGGTCTTCGAGATTTTGCAAGACGGGGAAGCTAGTTTCCCACAGACGGCGCCACTGATCTTACCGGATTAGACTTGGACCGTCACGACTGGCTCCGAGCAAAAGTTGAACGAGGTGGGGGGGGGGGGGGGTACCTGCAAGGCACTCCGATGCTAAAATGAGTGATGGTACGAGCAGGCAAAAAGTGTGTGTATGGTAAAAGAATGAATACCTGACCCTCTAGGAATATATGGTATTTATAGCCCCCAGCGCGGGGCCAAGGTCCCTTCATTGAGCCGACCAGGACTGGCCCAATAAAGGAACTGCCAAGTTCTACGTGTGTAGTGGGGACCCGCACGTGGTCCCCTTCCTGGTGATGCTCAGCGAGAAGTACGGAGGGACGAGGATGCAGTCTTTCCGGAGTTCAGGTGATGGAGTAACAGTCATAGTCTGCCCTACGAGGAGGGTGCTCGAGCTGGGCTCGAGCTGGATTTCATGTGGTCGAGGACGTCGTGTTTGCGGGCAGCGGCGAGTACGGTTGTAGCTTCTGGTCGACGCGCTGGCGGGAATCTTCGGGCGCACGCTCCTTGTAGAGCTGCTTGGATTGGGCCTTCGTTCTTGCTCTTGGGCCAGGACGGGCCCTGTCCAGAACAGTTAGAATAATAATACAAGTGTTGCAGACCATTAACGATTCATTATGATCATGTACGATCAAAAATCATTTTTAAAATATGAAAAGATTATGATTTTGATCTTGTTTTGGTCTTCAATAATGTATATTTATGTTATAGGATGTCAAAATTAGTGTTTCAATTTAGAAAAAACTAATATAAAAAGTTTGTAATATTTTTAAAAACGGTTTTTAAAAATTCTATTTTCAAACCTATTTTTAAAGCTGAAATAACCAGACCCAAACTTATTGAGAAAAAAACTCTATTAACAAAATCTTAAAAAAATTTAGCTACAAACTTGTTTAAATACACAAAATAAACTGACATGTTGGCACAAACAAAAGTATGCTTAACAACTAAGCTAACAATTAAGAGTAGCAAAAGAAGTGAGGTAACTAAAATCGTATAAAAATTAAAGACTTATCACCTCGATGTTTAAAACACCAAGGCATAATTTTATTAGCGAATGTGCTCAAACTACAGTAGTAGCAAATTTTATTATTTTCAAAACTTAACATATCTTTTATCTGTTTATGTCAGGGGAACAATTATTTATTTATTTTAAAATTGTTACATTTTTTATTAAATTATTGAGCTTTACTTTGGATTGTAATATAGTGAAAATGTGTTAGAAGTAGAAGGGGAGAAGGAGGATAAATAAATGATTTGTTTAATTAGAGGGTAGATATTAGTAAAAGTTGAGGTGGAGAAAGGAAAGTAGTTAGAGGCCCATGAGTGATTTGTGATTGATAGTCGAGAACGTTATCCTCTTAGTTTTTGTCTGGTTTCCTTCGTAACCCTCCATTACCAAATTCATCCGCATAGAGATACCTTGTGAGGTTGTTCGTTTTTGTAATTGAATGAGCGAGAGCCCCCATGGGTTTGATTGGTAAAGTTGTTAATTTGTAGGCATACTTTACTAAACCCTATTCCGTATATTATATGATTCTGTGTTTCAAATGTTTGCAGAGATAACAAATGCACATTTACTCAGGCCTCCATTGCCATATTATTACTATCATGTCAAACAATTTAATAGGATTTCATTCCGAAAATACAACTTCAATCTCCCACCACGTACTATTAAAGCCGTCGCCGCCGCCGCCGCCGTCGACGACGTCGAAATTGCCGGTGGACCTCAACAACCATTTGACGAAAAGGAGAGGTTGAGAAGATCCAGGATTTCTAAAGCTAATACTGGAAACACCCCATGGAACAAAGGACTAAAGCACAGTCCCGGTAACTATTCTCTCACTTACTCTCTTTATTTACTATTCAAATCTTAACTCTCTCTTTCTTATCTCACCAGAAACTTTGCAGAAGATCAAGGAGAGAACACGCATCGCAATGCAGAATCCTAAGGTGATGTCATGTAAGCATATTATATTTTATCAAACGGGATCAACACGTCCCCCAACACAATAGATAAGAGGGAAACTTCTCTCACACAATTCTTTTCTTTGCCTTTCTAACATATAATTTCCCAATGCAGGTCAAAATCAAGTTAATTAGTTCTGGGCATGCACAAACGTAACTATATTCTTACTTTTAAATGCTTCTTTTTTCTTTATTATTCCTCTTACCCTCCTTTATTCATTTGCACAGTTCAGAAACAAGACTCAAGATTGGTGCTGGAGTCAGAAAGCAAAGGGAAAAGAAACGTCGAATCAAGATGCTACAGGATACTTTTTGCTTTGAGTGGCTAAATTTTATAGCACAAGCATCTAGGCAAGGCTTTATTGGTCAGGAAGAGCTGCAATGGAATTCCTATGAAACCTTGGATGCTCACCTTACGCAGGAGTGGTTGACCAGTGTTGAAGAAAGGAAACTAATGCCAAGGGCATCATTTAGCAACAGAGCACCCAAGTCCCCTCAACAGAGACAAAAAATTGCTCAAGCCGTTTCTGCTAAATGGGCCGATCCTGTAAGTGCATCATCCATATGTTTACATCTTTTGCTCAGCCTTGCGGATTCCATTTTGGGGGTTTCTTCTCCCTTTTCCGTACTTTTTTTCTTTTCATATTTTTCCGTTATATCAGGAATACCGTGAAAAAGTTGTTTCTGCATTGCTCAACTATCATCGCTCTGCTGTAAGGAAACCTAGGAAACCTAGGAAACCTAGACCAATGCCGAGTGATGGTGCTCAACCCCCCAAGAAGAAGAAACCCATTACAAAAAAAGTTTCCTCCCAAGTTGTTAAGCCGATCAAGTTCAGAAAAAGAAAACCCCCTGCTTATAAGGATCCTTTGGTGAATTCCAAGCTTGAGATGATCAAGAACATTAGAGCGCAGAGAGCTTCTGTGGATACCAGACTAACTCAGGCCATTCAACAAGCTAGGTAGAACCTCTTTTTTTTTTACTAACACAGATCAGCAATATCATTTCATTCTATTTTTATTCATTTCTTTTTTAATTTCTACCTACATACACTGACTTCTTTTGAAGCATATTTCTTTTCTTTTTGATGCACTGAACTATGGTTACTTCCGTTTTGCTTTTGAGATTAGGTTGTAAAAATACAGGTTTTGCTTCTATATATATTCATGGAATAATGTTTTATGTGCAGACTATTGATTGCTGAAGCTGAGAAAGCTGCCAAGGCACTTGAGGATGCTGCCCAGAAGAGTCCCGTTGTTCAAGCTTCTCTAATAGAAACCAGAAAGCTTATAGATGAAGCTCTTCATTCACTTGAATCCATTGTTACACAAAAGACAGAAGACTGTAATGTCCCTTCGGTTAGTTTGAGTGAGGAGGTCAATAAGGAAAACGAATCAACATTTGAAGTTGGAAACCTTTCACAAATGGTTCATGTAAATGGACACACAACATTATCATCAAGCGTCTATAAGTTCTCTGAAGATTTTGGTTATCTTTCTCTGGAGAGGCCAGTTAATGATGATCCAGAACTTCACCTAACCAATGGTTGTGCTTCCTTACCTTTCAGTTTGAATAGCCAGATGATCCAACATAGCCCGTCAAATCAGGAAAGGGAAACAGAACAGTATGAGAGCAACGAAAACGAAACAGATGGTTCTCCAGCTGAAGATGAAACACTATCAAGATCTGATTCTCCAGCTGAAGATGAAACACTATCAAAATCTGAATCTCCAGCTGAAGATGAAACACTGTCAAAATCTGAATCTTCAGCTGAAGATGAAACACTATCAAGATATGATACTCCAACTGAAGTTGAAACACTATCAAGATCTGATTCTCCAACTGAAGATGAAACACTATCAAGATCTGATTCTCCAACTGAAGATGAAACACTATCAAGATCTGATTCTCCAACTGAAGATGAAACACAATCAAGATCACCTATAGCAACAAAGAAGTGGGTTTGTGGAAGGCTTGTTGAAGTGAGTGAAGAGCAACAGTAAAATGTTTTAAAATATAATACAAAACTGTTTGCTGCATGTTATATAGATCACCACAATTGTCCTTGTTTTGTTTAACAGTGTGATCGACCAAATCATTAGTTGAAATGATTTGTATCAGGCAACCAAGTCTAGGCAGATAGACAGATGGAGACTAAAATAGCCATAGCTAAAGAGAGAATGTACTTATGTTAGTTTATAGAATCATCTACTTCATTTGATCTTGTTTACATTAAACTATGAATTAATTAATCATATTATGTGTTTCATGTCAATTAAGTACCTGTTGGCCGTACAGGCAAAGACAGTCTCATAATTATAGGTTTTACATATAGGAATGCTTTAGTTACTTCCCCTGAGGCTTGGGTAACACAAAATAATGAAGTGGAAATGAAAAAACAGTTGCATTAAAATTTGGCGTTTAGTAACAAACAATTTGGTATGCATTAGGGACAATGACATAGTAGTGTACTATTATTAAGGTGAATCATATTTGGTAAGGTAGGAGTGCATAGTCTTTTCAATATGTTTCCTCTTGGCTTCTTTGTCTTGTTTGGCTTTCTCAATATCTTTTTTTACTTGCTCCTTCTACACAAATCAATCATATATCAGGAAGAGGTGCCTTAACACCATGAACAGCAGCTCGGTCAGAGGTCTTTGTTGTGACAGACATTGAATGTGGAACACCAATTCTAAGAGTGGTGTTTCTGTAATTGCTATTTAACCACTCCAATTCCTACCAACCAAGAATATGTGTCTTGTCTTCTCCATGTAATATACTTGCTGTTGCTGATCAGCTGAATGTGTATTAGGTTTGGATGGACATGACATGTTTGTTTGGGTCCTCAAATCTAATCTCAGTACAGCAGTGTCCTCTGGACTCTTCCAACTTCCAACGTGGCACCAATGTACCGTAACCTACCAACATCTTCACCACTCTAGAACCAACTAGTGACAAACAGGAATGTCAGCTTTAAGCCCGTCTCACAAAAGTGAAAAAATAAAGTGATGTAGGTTAGACATATTTAATTTAAGGGTGCAGTTCTAAAGTTTGACTTGGAGGATCCTGAATATTGAACCTTTTAGATCTAAAAATTACAAAATTGTATATAGTAGTCAATGTGCAACATTCTACATCTTCTGTTAAAAGAAAAAACAAGTTTCTCAAGACACTATCTAAAGATCGTGGTTCTGGCATGTCAAGAAGCAAAGGAAGCATAAGTCTGATCCAAGTAAGAACTGTCCTTCTGAGTCTTTTATTCGTAATGACGGTAATAATTCATCTCTTGCTTCTTCTATCTTGATCACATCTGTTTCAGATGTTCTGACAAACTCAAACACCTTCTTCGTTACTCTACCTAAATCAACCTTCATTAAATCAACTGTTTCTGAAACATTTGTTTACGGAACTCCTCCTCAGTTCCCTAAATTCAAGATACCACAAATATTTCATCAACTCAACCACAAACACTCCCGCCTCCAATAATCTCAATCATCCATCTCTCACCTAACCTAGATGCTCCTGTGACCGCATCAAAAGATTCTGATACAGACACTGAGTTTTTCAACTCTACGAAAGCTAAAAATTACCTAACCAACCCTGTTTATCTTGAACTGTCTCATGATTCTCAAGAAAAAATTCAAAGAATCATTGTTGTTCCATATAGAGATCCCAATCCCTACTTCACCCCTTCAAATCCTCTCCTTCTTCAAACCAACGTACTTCCACCACCTTCTAATGAATTATTACTTCATTTTGAATATGAGAATATGGATAGTCTGTGTTTCTTGGTAGACACTTGTTCTGAAGGATTGAATCCTAAAGCAACTAATGCCATCTGGCATGGCTTCAAGAAGTGGATGGAATCCAATGCTTCTGAAGTTCAGTTCTTTTGCTTCAAAGATGCAATGAGAAAGCAAAATATAGAGATTGCTACACGCCGACCTCCTCCTTCAGTTCTTCTACTCCCGACTCCGGAGGCAACTATGGCTGAAGAGCATGCTTCTGATCAACAAGATCTCCCTTTGATTTAGATTCCTAATTTTAATTTTCCGCAATTTACTGTTTTCCTTATACTGTATAGTAATTAGGTGTGCATGGCAAGATTTAAAATCAATCGCTAGATAACCCTAATCAAAGACAAATTAACTTGAATTAAACACACTTTTCACACGCGCACCTCTAGGGTAACCTCACTTGTTGCCTCAGAAACACAGTCATATCCCTCGAATATGTAACGCATTAGCAAAGACCCTTCGATAAAAAAAGATCGTAGTCCCTCGATGTTGCCTTCGGTAAAACGATTTAGTCCCTTACGAAAAATATTGCTAAAGCGTCTCACAAGTTGCCTTCTATGACTGTACGATTGACCCGCGCCTGTCCCTTCACATCCAACGATGGGGCTTCTTACCAAATCAATGGTAAGATAGACACATCTAAAGGAGGAGGAAAAGAACATTTAAGACCTTTTGAGTGGGTAGGATGCTCCTAGTTGCTCACTTGCTCACAACAAAGCATTTTTTACACTAACACTTTCATCTTAAAACATTTTCAAAAGACAAAGCTTTTTGTACGCGTTCTTATAGAGACGAGGACCATTACAAATACGTTTTCGAAATACTTTCAAAACCCACACCACAAGCATATTTTCAAACAAAAGCAAGTGATCTAACAAACAACTAAGAGCCCGTAGATAACTACGGATGAAAAGGGTTCTAATACCTTTCCTTTTCATAACCTACCCCCCGAACTCAAGAAAACATCTCTAAAGGTCTTTCCTGTTCTTTTCAGCCTTTCCTTTTGGATAAAAGAAAAGTCGGTGGCGACTCTTTCTATCTGTACAATTGCGATCAAACGCAAAACATCCAAGTCAGTTCTCCCACCGTATTACAAAAACAAAAACAAAGATTTCATTAGTAAGTTCAAAATTACAATTGCCTCTTAGGCTTACAATGAAAAGCAAAAGGGTCTAAAAGAGACAACAATATGAACTTCTAAAACCTAAGATTCAAGTCTCCCACTGACGCTTCCTCTTCGTGACGATGTATGCATTAAGGCTTTGCTCCTCGTGAATTGCTTTATGAGCTTCAACACTTTCTTCTCGCTTGCATAGAATTGAGTTTCAAAGGTGTCCCGTTCTTCCTTGAGTTGAATCCAAGACTTCTGCAATTCTTCAAGGTCAGTAGGCATATATGGATGAAGAATGGTATAAGGAATATCCCCCTCAGCAACAGGTTCCACAATTACCAGTAAGACAACGGGATATGGCATCATAAGGTTTTGAGCACGAGATCGTACCCATTTGAGGTAGGGCTCCAAAGGGATATAATTCTTTTGTCTTAAAGTCTTGTTATCAATCTTGTTTACCATGCCCCAAACTCGTATAAACCTTTGACGATAACCTTGAAAATTGTTCTCGTAGTCAAACACAATACCCTGGATAAGTATGTCACAAGGACCATCTCTTCGAGCATAACCAAATCATCGTAGAGCTAGAGAAGGGTTGTAAGTAATACCTCCTGTAATGCCAAGGAGTGGAACATTAGGGAATTCTCCACAATGGTCAATGATAGTAATATCCTTTAGAGATCGGGAACATCAATATATATCCGAATGAGAGAGAGAAATCATCCTTTGAGACCACCTCAAACCTTGTTCATTCTTCACTATTGATCAGAGAAGGTGTGAAATAAACTACCTAGATAGCAAAGGTGTGCAACACGTAAGATTCCCTCACTTCTTCATAGTACGGGTGTAAAGAGAATGCAGAATGTCTCAGAGAAAAGTAGGCACAGGGTTACGAGAAAGAAATATTTTGATGGAGTTCATATCTATGAGTTGGTTTGGATTAGGGAATAGCATCAAACCATAGAGGAAAAAAAGCCAAAATATATTCGAAAGCTTGAAAACTCATAGCATCCAGAAATAGCCGAGCCTTCTCTAACATAAATTTAGCAAGAAAACCCTTGACTCCACTTCTTGTTTCCCAATTAGATACAATGCTGAACCGCTTCAGATGTAAGGCTGCTGCAATTTCTTCAGGTTGTGGATCTTTCTCTAAACCAGTGAAAGGTATTTGATTGAGAACGGGTACTCCCAGTAATTGAGAAAACTCCTCCATTGTGGGTACCAACTGATAATTGGGAAAGGTGAAGCAATGATGTGCAGGATCAAAGAACTGGAATAAAACACTCATCATATCTTCTTCAAAACCCGAGGTAACCAAACTGAATAGTCGACCATGCCTTTTGATGAATGGAGAATTTTCGGGAACCCTTGAGACTAACTCCTTAAGTTGAGAAGGTGTAACACTCCAATTCTACCCCAAGCAATTATGCAAAATAAATCAGAGTTATAAGTTCAAACATGCAACCGAATCGGGACGTCACAAATTATTCTATGAAATTCACTACATTCATCGTGGATATATAACACTTTCAAAACATCGGATGAACCATCATAACATCTTTAAATAAAATAATTCAACATCTACGCAGCGGAATTCTTAATAACATCTTTAACAACCCAAAGCAGCAACTTCGAAACATCACATATTTAATAATAATCAATTTAAGGTTCAACAACTGAAAATCAACAATCAAAAATCAGCAAGCGTTCATCCTCCCGAGTGTTACATATCAGAGCAATGACACCGACTCGAACTATTGAAGGTATACAGCCTTCACTCTCGATTACCCGCACGTTACCAACATAAGGGAAACATTCAAACAGAAGGGGTGAGATATCTAACAATATAATAAAATGCATGATAATTAATATATTAAATTAGATCAATAACATCACCACTTCTCATCTCATAATCAACAACAATTACAACACATGTACACATTCATCAACATCAAAATACACTTATTTATACAATCATCTAATGCGACTCAATACTATGCAAATGCATGTGGTACCATTGGAGCATAACTCCCATCTCAAAAATTTGCCAATTAATAGAGGCATCAACAAGGCATAGCCTTCATCTCAAAATTTG